TCCCCTTTTCATAATTTGCCCTCTCGAGAATGACAGGTGAGGTTCGGGCCTGCCCGTCATTAAGATAATGGATGGCAAATTGTGAAAGGGAGAAGTAAGGGGTAACAAATTATCAAATCGCCCTTTTAAACCTTCGCTAGCTTTCAAGCCGAGTCAATACATCACAAGACGAAGCATCGATCCGGCACCAACGACGTGCGTGATGGCCCAGCCGGCGGCGGTACGCGGGGAGCACGGCACCCACTTCCTCGTGGCGGCGTACGGGATCCAGGGCCACCTCAACCCGGCGCGCGCCCTGGCCCGCCGTCTCGCCACCCTCTCGGTGCCCCTCTTCGGCCACCGCCGCATGTTCCCTTCCTCCTCTCCCGACGACCAGGAGGTCAGCGACGGCGTCATCCACTACGCCCCCTTCTCCGACGGCCAAGACGACGGCAGCTGGCCCACGGGCTCGGGGGACGAAACGGCGCGCCGCCGCAGAGCGTCCTGCGACAGCCTCTCCGCCGTGGTGCGCCGCCTCGCCGCCGCCGGCCGCCCGGTCACCTGCGTCGTGTGCACGCTCAACATGCCGACGGTCGTCCAGGTCGCGCGCGCGCACGGCCTGCCGCTCGCCGTATACTGGATCCAGCCGGCCACGGTGCTCGTCGCCTACTACCACTACTTCCATGGGCATGGCGACGGCGGCATCGCCGCTCACGCCGCTGACCCGGCGTACGAGGCCACCCTGCCGGGTCTCCGCCGGCCTATGAGGATGGGCCGCGACATGCCGTCTTTCTTGGCCGACGACGCCACGGGCACCGGGGACGACCTTTCACAGATGATCGTTCGAGGTTTCCGCGAGATGTTTGAGCAGATGGACGACGAGGAGGTCATCATGAAGCCTTGCATGGTGCTGGTGAACACGTCCGAAGCCCTGGAAGAGACGGCGCTGGAGGCGATCCGGCCGTACCTGGGCGACGTCTTCGCCATCGGCGCCCCCGTTGTTCCTCTTGCCGGAGCCGGAGAAGATCAGGCCATTCATCTGTTCGCGCAGGACGAGGAGAAGAGGTACATGGCGTGGCTGGACGCGCAGCCACCCAAGTCGGTGGTGTACGTGTCGTGGGGGAGCCTGCTCACGTACAGCGAGCGGCAGGCGGAGGAGATCCTGCGCGGCATCCGGCGCCTCAACCTGCCGTATCTGTGGGTGGTGCGGCGGGAGGGACGCTCGCCGGAGGTGGACCGCCTCCTCCTGGCAACGGCAGCGGCCGTGCCAGAGGGAATGGTGGTGGAGTGGTGTGATCAAGTGCGAGTGCTGTCGCACCCGTCGGTGTCGTGCTTCGTGACGCACTGCGGGTGGAACTCGACCCTGGAGGCGGTGGCGTGCGGCGTGCCGGCCGTGGCGGCGCCGAGCTGGTCGGACCAGCCGGTGAATGCGCACCTGCTGGCGGAGGAATGGGGCGTGGCCGTCCGGGCGGAGCGCGAGGCCGACGGGGTGCTGACCGGCGCGGAGCTGGCGAGGTGCGTCGAGCTGGCTGTTGGCAGCGGCGACATGGCCACTGCGATAGCAGCGAGCTCGAGGGCTTGGAAGGAGAGGGTAAGGGAGGCGGTGGCCGCCGGTGCGCCGTCCGAGAGAAGCCTCCGGAGCTTTGTCAAGAGAGTGCAAGAACTGGAGTTTCTAAGGAGCAACTAATAATCTGCTCAGCGTCTACATCTTGCCGTTGATGCAACAAAAAAAGCATACACACGAATCTTAAATCTTTTTCACATGCTCAATAATTCCCTTAATACAGTACAGTAACTAATTAGGTTCTTCATTTCCATCACCTAAGCGCAAATTATGCTGCAAGTTTTGTTTCAGGCTTGTAATGACTGTTTATTTTTGCTGTGTGAATCCATTGACACAAAATCTTTTCCTTCAGAAAAATAAATAAAGTAAGCAAATGGAAAATAAATGGCTTGTAATCCGCCTATTTCCTTTCAGGGGTAACTTCCTCGTCTTTTCAACTGAAGTGTAAAGGTATGGGTTTGTTGATTAAGCAAAAGAAAATCTTCCAGTTAATAGAAATTCAGGCGAAAACACTTGAACGAATGTTGGTGAGCGAAAACAAAAGGAAAGATATTACGTGTTAAAACGAATGCAAATTCTATCCATGGATCAGATTACTTTGTAGACTGTTGCATTTATGGCCTCAAGGTTCGATCATGGTGTTAGGCCTGGATTGGTCCTCGCTCACTCTCGAATTTGGGGAAGAACACTCAAATTTGTTGATAAATCGGGAAATCCAGGTAGTTTAATGCACTGGAAGAACCTGGATTACATAGTACGGTAGCTAAACCCCGATTAAGGCAAATTTCCATTACGACTGATACGAGAAACTGTACATGTGATGTAGAGACTCCGGTCAAACTTGCAGCTGAACCACGCAGCGTAGACAAAACTTGTGCAAACCATTGTTGTAGGCACAAGATATTGTTATTAGACAAGGGTAAACCTGTGATGTACAAAGAGGCAATGATGTGTCCTGAATCCGGGAATTGGCTAAATGTCAAGAAGCTCAAGGTAGTATCTATGTACGAGAATCAAGTTTGAAACTTGGTAGACCATCCGGAAGGCATAAAGCCTGAAGAATGAAAATGGATCTATAAATCGACGCGGATGAAAATATTTACATACATAAAGCTCGACTTGTTGCAAATGTTTTCGACAAGTTTAAGGAGTTGACTATGACGAGATTGTCTCGCTGTAGCGATGCTTTAGCCAATTCGGGTTATACTAGAATTGCTACACATTTCTATTACGAAATATGACAGATGGGCTTCACAAAGGCTTTCCTTAAATGAAAATTGAAGCAAGGACATGTATATGATACAACCCGAGGGTTTTCACAATCCAAAGTATGCTAGAAATGTGTGCAAACTTCAAAGGTTTAGTTATGAACTGAAACAAGCATCAAAGAGTTGGAATCTTCGTTTCGATGAAGTGATCAAATGGTTTGGCTTCATCATAAATTGAGGAAGATGCGTTGTGTTTACAAGAAAGTAGGTGACATGGTAATAACATTTCTAATACTTTATATGGATGACATATTGTTGATTGGAAATGATGTAAATTTCTTGACACGAATTAGGACTTATTGAAAAAGAAGGATTTGGGCTATGTAGCATACATATTGGACATAAAATCTATGGATATAGAAGGCCTCCCTGTTTGGCACGGCGGCGAGTCTAATGTGCTGCAACCCGTAAACCACTATGCTACAGCTGGTGAATACTTTTGCTGGAACCGATGAGAACTTTTGCTTTGACCGGCGATGACCAGCCATTTTTTGCTGGGATGGACATAATGTTTGCTGCATCCCGGGCGACAGCAGGACATTGTTTTTGCTGGCATTTGTTTTGTTGGACCATGCACCTTTTATGTTTTTGTTGGACTATGCCATTGTTTTTGCGGGAACCATTCTATTATTTTTGCTGGAACCATGGCATTTTTTTTGGTGGAACCATACCATTGTTTTGCTGCAAGATAGTCACAGCAGGCTTTTTTTTTTAAGTTTCAACCCGAGACCGGCGAGCTGACGATGGCGAGTGGAGGTGCACCGAGCCCTGCGAAGGGGCAAGACAATTTTTGCTGTGATCGGCCACATAAAATGTTACGACCAAGCAGAGCAACTTTGATGACGAGGACAGAGACGGGTGCTACAACCGATGAGCTGCGACCAACCAGGTGAGGGCGATGAGCGCATCTGGCAACGTGGGCGGTGGAGGGAGGGCATCCAGGCAAGGGGAGGTGGTCAGTGACCGGGAGGACATGCAGGCAACGGGGGCGACGCCCGCGCTATGCATGCAGCCTTGATTCATGCAGATCGTACGTTCAAAAGGAGGTCTAAGCTGACGCACACGTGGCGACCGAACGAAATTTGGGCAATCAACCGACGCCTAGCGTGACGTTAAGTTTTTCTTTTTGACGAAAATACCTTCATGGCTAGATTTATTAAAATCAAATAACACTTACATTTGTCTGCTAAAAATTTAGCAATAAAATCGGGGGTTCTTCAAACCCCAAAGCCGGAGGGTGAGAACATCCCCATTAAGCTAGCTCATGTGCTAGTAGCCATCCCAAAATCCGCCAATTCCTTAGGACAATCATCTACTAGTATTGGAGCCGCCACCATAGAATGCCCTTCATTAAGCCTCAATGTTTTCACCACAACTAAATTACCCATTTGAACCAGCAGGTTATTGCAACCAATTTTTTGAGCTGGTTTCAAACCCTCTCGAAGAAAAGCACCTTCAGCAGACACCACATGAGCAACATGTTCCAAGACTGCTGTAGCGGCACCAATGAAGCCACCCTGGTGGTCACGAAGAACTGCACCGCAAGAACCAGAGTGATCTTCTTCCGGAAAGGCCTCTACCCCAGTTGTTCACTCGTGGTATGTTGGACGGCTGCCCGAACAAAATTCAGAGCCAGTGCATGAATCGCAGGAGTCACGAATTCTAGCGACGGTGGAATCGATCAGCCTAGGTGTTGCGTGATTAGCCTAAACCCTAACGAGAATACCCTTTTTAAAGTTGCTTTGAGATCCGGATATTTTTTTAGGAGGGGCGTACCCAAGCACAACTCATTCTGCTCTGAATCAGATGGGAAGGTGGAAGGAGCAGATGAGTTTCTCTTGAAACCAGTGAGGCTAACATACATGACCAACATGAGCAAAGCTAAAGCGCACAACCTGAAAATCACACGCAAATAGCACCACCAACATGAACAACACTGGCAACGCAACAGCAGCAGTGACAACCCCACAATCACATTTGAGCGATTCTCCACGACACATTTCAGTTTTCAAAGACATGCAGTGACCACGGTACGCTGGAAACAAACTTGTGCCAGACTTTCTAAGAAACATCTGAAACTGACAACCAGATAGCTTAGGATGGGGAACAGTTTTCTAACTACATTGCCGCGGGGCCTAACAGAAGACAACCTTCATCAACCTTCATCCCATGGAAACCAAACGGATCCATCAGAAGATACATCTGTACGTCACATGGTCCACGGTGAGCTCGCTGTCATATGTGAATTTCACCACGTTTCCCTTGCCAAGGCCATAGTAGCGAGCAACAGCATCGGTCTCTAGCATGCGAGGCAACTGAAAGATACAGACAACAGTTTTAGCAAAGTGGTGTACATGTGGTTTATGACAAAATGAGGCATCAATATATTACTAAAATAGAATCCAAGTGCAAGAAAGGTAACAACAAATGTCGTTTGGCATTTGAGGCATGTCAAGAAGAGAACGCAGTACCGCCCGCAATGACTATTAAGCATATCATGAGCAGATAAGTACATTTTGAATTCAAGATTTTGTTTCCCAGCTTGTAAGGAGCTTGCAATATAACTGAAAACTACTCGTGGATAGGTGAGGAGAATTTTAAATTGCAACTACACAAGTTCTCTTGTCATTTTTAGTGAGCATGGAATACTAAACACCCCAATTCTTTACAAAATAATCAGAAAATATAGAAGGATCATCTGTTTTAAGTTTTAACACCATCAATTTTTGTCTTAATGAAAAGTGTAAAATGCTATCTCCAGAAAAGATCTTGTCTTAAAGCTTAGTGATCTTTCTCATCTGGCAAAACAAAAGGAGAAGAAAGAAACTCCAGGATCTGGAGTAAAATATCTCAATGAAATAATAACATATTTTGACTGCACTTCCACTTTAAATGTGCTTGGCTCGTAAGTTAATCATAGTAAATAAATCGCACATATTACCCACAAAAGCATTCACTAGACAGTTACCCCAATTGTGAATATATATATCTTTTAGAACACTATCACATAGTTCATACTAGAAATCAGTAACAAATTTTACAGTACTATCAGCAAATTATAGACAGACAGACCTGTGAATCCACCACATTGTACTGCTTCAGGAGCTTCGCTTTTTCTTCTGCAGTCAGCACTTCATGCTTGGGCTTCAGGACATGCTTAGTAATGTTCACCAGTAACTCTGTGATCTACCATAGGACAGCAGAGCACATCAGTTCGCAAATGTAAACTATAGAATGTTAAATTGTTAGCATATCGTGTAAAACAGTAAAGCATCAACCATACATGACTTAAGTCACGAAACTATATGAATACAGATTTGAGATTAAGAACATAACTAGCAGAAACACACATGTTAAAATGCTGAGCAATACAAGTATACACCACAGGGCCGGCTTTGGGCCTAGGCGGGAGGGGAGACCGCCTAGGCCCAGGTCATGCAGGGGGGCCAGCAGGGCAAATAGACATTACTCCCTCCATTCCTAAATATAAGGTGTATTATTTTGAGCATGTTAAACAAGGCACAGATTAGAGGGGAACTCAGGGCACAAATACCCCTAACTCACTCGGCAATACCTGGAATGAGCCATGCATCGCATGCATATCTCACAACAATTCCGGATGGCCATATGGCATGCCACGTTGAAAAAATCAATCACGAAGGTACTCCAGATAATTAATTGCCAGGAGGAAGCATACTGGAAGTAACTACTCCAATAATTAGCTCTAACGCGCAGCAGTTGGAAGGCAGGGGTAGGGGCAAAAATGGAAATCCTGGGGGAAAACATAAATACACCTTATAATATGGAATTTTATTGAAAAACAAATACACCTTATATAGTGGAAGAGAGGGAGTACTTGCTACTTTGGCCAGCTGGCAGTCTTAGCCCATGAAGGAAAGAAACGCAGCATAGTAGGAAAGAAAACGCCATTTCGATAGCCCACGAGAAAAATAAACGCGATCGATAACTGCGGGACGGGCGCACGGCACCGTGAGGTTACTTTTCTCGATCTCAGCTTCAGCCGCCGTGTATGAATGTGTGAGTGAGACGGGGGGTCGCGTTCCTCCCTCCTCCGGAGCTTCCGACCATCGTTGCTTCCATGGTGAGGTGATGCCGTGACACCTTTTGATTCAATGGGTTTACACATGTGGTTTAACTAATCATCTCCTTACACGCAGAACTTGCTCGTTGCCTATTGGACGAAATGGCGACCGCTTGTGGCGAGCGTCAAGAATCAAATCACAGCACCACCCCTGGACATCCAGCTGCGCTTGTTCTTGCTTCCCGCGAGCAAGCCGTGCTCACCAACGCGCTCTCCAGTGAGTGGCGCAGCCTCTGGATGATAATGCCAGCATACGCCTCGTCGCTGCTTTTTCAGAGGTTTCCGTCCCTCGTGGCTTCTTTCCGCCGTAAGAATGGTGGTTGAAATTTAACTCTTAACTAGCATAATGCCCGTGCGTTGCTACGAAGCCATAAGAAATAAGGAGTTATCACCGGCTTAGGAGATCGTCAAATGATGTATCTTGTGTCCGTTGGATGATTCACGATTAAAAAGAGAACGGAAATATAATGATACGAAGCCACAAGAAACAAGGAGTTATCACCGGCTTAGGAGATCGTCAAAAGATGATGGTATCTTGTGTCCGTTACATGATTCACGATTAAAAAGAGAGCGGAAATATAATGAAAGACCATGTTGCTGGCATCGAAGAGTCTCGAGAGATCATAGTAGGTCCTTTGCAAGGTTTATAGTGACATAACATTTTGAATTTGAAACATATTAGAATGGGCATGAGTAAGTTTTTTTAATGGTACGAGTAAGTTGAATGCACAAGATATTGGATTAGATAGGAAGACAATATCTATCACCGCGTCGAAATTGCAATTTGTTTGCCCCCATCTGCTTTGACGAGGAATTGGAAGAATTGCTTGGGTAGAGAAGCTAAAATCAAGACCATGATTTTGAGTTAAAATCGCATACTCGCATTTATAGTTTGTGTTTTTTACAATAGTGTTATTCTCACATCAAGGCATTAGTGTATTTGTTTATTTCGGTTGTCTCACACCTTCTAAAAGTAGCATTTGTTTATTTATGTTTAGTCCCACATATGGGTAGAAGTATGTTTGTTTATTTGTGTGGTCCCATATGTGAACTCACCACCAATTCTAACCTTTAAAAGTAGGAAAGATACTTCACAAATGAAAATAGACATGTATATATACCTATATGCACATACATATAGATGACCTTAAGGACCAAGTCGTCGACTTTGCCCTACGGCCCTCCAAATTATAGAGCCGGCCCTGGTACACCACTACGGTCAGGATGACATAGAACTAAAACTAATGCCACTGTATTAACAAGTTACCTACCTATCCTAATGGTATGGCATTGTACTTGCAAGCTACAACACAAATAGTCATAGATCTTTGCTTGCAGAATGTGAATTTTGGAATGCAGTGTTCCGAACAGGCCACCAACAGATTAGAGGAAACTAACCTGGAATACATCTACTTTGAATTTGAACATCTCCTTGATGGACTCCCTGGCTCTAGATGTTATTTTGCTCTGCAAAATCAGAATCAGGCAAGACAAGTTCTCTTCTTTGATTCGGAGATACACCTCCCGGATGGCTGCGATTTTGACGGGCTCAGGTGGGCAGAAGACAATTCGCACCTGTGTTAACCACGTTGTTAGAGTGGATCAGCTCCTGCCTCGCAAAAATACGAAAGGGGATTGGGAAAAAGAAATGCCTTGTTGGACTCGTCGGAGGCGAGGGTTGTGGAAAAGGAAAGGCGCTCGATCTCGGGCGTCTCGGACCACCACGCGCGGAACTCCGGGAGGGTGCGGGCGAGCTCGTCCTCCGGAACGCTGTACCCGCGGTCCCGCAGCATCTCCAGCGCCGTGCGGCGCGCCAGGAACAGGCGCTGGCTCTCCACGCCGGCGGCGCCGCCGAGGTCGACCATGGATGATACGCAGCAGGCGACCTCGGGGGCGTAGTCGACGGCCATTGCCGCGTGGGCGGCGTTGGAGGCGGCGGAGCTCTCCCCTGAGTCCATGGCGAGCGATGATTGCTGAGGGGCGAATTGATTCATTTCTTTCCTTGTGCTCTGGTGGGAGGAAATTGGGGTTTTGGGTGTAGGGGAAAGCAAACGAGCCTTGCGCCCTTCCCACTCTCATCCTCGCGCAGTCACGTGGTGCGTTTTTTTTCTTTTTCTTTTTTTTAACAACAAGGTGGGGAGGCTCCCACCTATACCTTTTTTTAGACAAACTCCGAAGCTTTTTATTCAACCGTCACAAAGTTTACACGGACGAAATCAAGTTCATTGGACTGACCTAACCAAACATGGCGGCCAGCCCCTAGGGATAATGCATGCTTCGCAGGTTTGTGAGCCTCAATGTTCGAGCTCCTAAGTTCATGAATAATTTTACAAATAGTATAAGTGTTCTTCCTATGTGTATGATGGCACCATAAACCGTGGAATTCTTTTGATGTATGTCCTCGACGACCACCTTGCAGACAGACGCCACGTGTATTCTTCTCTCATAAAGATCATTAGGCAGCGCCAAGGCTTCTCTGACAGCCAAACATTCCAGTGTAGCTGGGTCCGTAATATTTGGAAACACAAGTGTTGAAGCACCTAGGACCACACCAGATTGGTCCCTGCATATCGCGCCTACCACCCCATGAGAACCTCCACGTCCCACAGAAGCATCAACATTAATCTTTGCTAGCCCCGCCGATGGTGCTATCCACTATGCTCGCCGGTTAGAGTAAACAGATGCTGCTGCTCGTTTAGGAATATTCTGAACAACTCGGAGATCATTTAGATACGACTGCACAAAACTATGGACTGCAAACGGACTCTGATAAATGTCCTCATGTATAGCCTTCTGTCGTGCTCCCCACAGTGCCCAAAGGGTAACCACGAATGTGGTAAAATCATCATGTGACAGTGTATCATGCATGGCAAACAACCAGCGCTTAGCATCATCATCAATGTTCGAACATAGCCGATCAATTAATAACATCCGATGAGATTGCCCACGTACTCCTTGCAACTGGGCAATTCAACAGTGCATGCCTCCATGTATCCTCAATGCCACAGAAACAACATACGCTCGACGTTGACATATTACGGTGATTCAGGAGCGATGTTGTCGGTATCGAGTGTCGGGCCAGCCGCCACAGGAAGTTCTTCAACTTCGAAGGAACCCTGAGTCTCCACATATTTGTCCATCCCATGCAATCAGCCTCCACATGTGATGATCCTTCTTCTTCATAAAGCCATGTCTCCCTGTTCACCTTCATTTTCTAAATCATCCTGTACGCACTTTGGACAGAGAAAGAGCCCCTTCTTTCCTCACTCCAGGCCCAGAAGTCGATGGTCTGTCGTGTACATAAGGGAATTTTCAGAATTGCCCGGCATCAATCAGGATAAATACGGTGCGGACCAACTGCTCATTCCATGAGCTTGACGTATGGTCAATAAGTTCAGAAACTCTCGTGGGTGGGTTCTGTATAAGAGATGTGATCGGTCTCTTGATACTCTCCCGAGGAATCCAGTTGTCGCTCCAAATGTTCGTGTTCTCCCCGTCACGTATCCTTCTTATCAGGCCTTGCACCATCAGGCCTTCCGGACACTCCCAAAAGTATCTATATCCCATCGCATCAGGTCATGCGATATACCAATCAAATTTTCACGTAAGTCTAGTAACCTGTTACACTCGCTGTGACTCGACCACGTGGTGTTTATTGTCTCGGACCAGGTATTGTGGCCCTCCCACATAACCTCATAACGAAAGGTTCTGGCTCGCTGATTGTGCATTTGCTCTCTGTTCAAGTTCACAAAAATCAGGCTGTGATCCGATGTTGCAGCCGTGAGATGAGACAAGTCAACTGATGGAAACCTGGCTTGCAGATCCGCAGTAACCAATGCCCGATCGAGTCGCACTCTTGTGAAGGAACCACTAGTCACTTTCTTTTCAAAAGTCCAAAAAGGCCCCGAATAGCCGATGTCCATTAACATGCACACGTCAACCACGTCTCAGAAGGTCTGGATTTGTGCATTGCTTCATTGTCCCACTCCCTCGTGTTCATCCGGGCGCGGGACTTCATTGAAATCTCCCAAACATAGCCATGGCAAACTACTAGTAGTACTTATGTTTTTTAATGTATCCCATGTTTGACGCCGAAGATGGGTTTGAGCTTCACCGTAGACTATCGTCACTCTCCATGGATCAAAACCTGGTTCCAAAACAGAGCAATCAAGGTGATACACAGAGTAACCGAGAATATCTATATTTATTTCATTGTTCCAAAAGATGCCGATGCCACCACTTCTACCCTGACTATCGATAACATAACCATTGTCATAACCAAGTGTGCCTGCTAATGCTTCTACCCTTGAGCCTGCTAGCTGAGTTTCTACAATGCAGAGTAGGGTAGGGGCAAATTTCCTCGCAAAATCGCGAAGTTCACGGACTGTCGCGGCTTTGCCCGTGCCGCGGCAGTTCCAGAAAAAGACACTCATTGGGCCCGGCGGCGCCCCTCACTGGGACCCGCCATCTTTGGATCGGTCTTATTCTGCACTTCGCTCTTTGCGTTGCCTCTCTCTGAATTAACTATACCTCGGCATGACAAAGCCAGCCTTTTGGACAAAGCTGTTCAACGCTACCTCTTGAGCATGCATTGGTTTTCCCTTGAAGAGGAAAGGGTGATGCAGCAAAGTAGCGTAAGTATTTCCCTCAATTTTGAGAACCAAGGCATCAATCCAGTAGGGGACAACGCACAAGTCACATAGTACCTGCACAAACAATTAAGAACCTTGCAACCAACGCGACAAAAGGGGTTGTCAATCCCTTCATGGTCACTCGCAAAAGTGAGATCTAATAGAGATAGTAAAGTAAAATTTTGGTATTTTTGTTGTATAGATTGGAAAGTAAAGATTGTAAAATAGTAAACAAGATGCGATGTAAATAAAAGAGATGTAATATAATAGGTAAGAGACCCAGGGGCCATAGGTTTCACTAGTGGCTTCTCTCAAGATAGCATGTATTACGGTGGGTGAATAAATTACTGTCGAGTAATTGATAGAAAAGCGCATAGTTATGAAGATATCTAAGGCAATGATCATGAATATAGGCATCACGTCTGTGTCAAGTAGATCGAAACGATTCTGCATCTACTACTATTACTCCACAGATCGACCGCTATCTAGCATGCATCTAGAGTATTAAGTTCATAAGAATAGAGTAACACATTAAGCAAGATGACATGATATAGAGGGATAAACTCAAGCAATATGATATAAACCCCATCTCTTTTATCCTTGATGGCAACAATACAATACATGCCTTGCTGCCCCTACTGTCACTGGGAAAGGACACCGCAATATTGAACCCAAAGCTAAGCACTTCTCCCATTGCAAGAAAGATCAATCTAGTAGGCCAAACTAAACCGATAATTCGAAGAGACTTGCAAAGATATAAAATCATGCATATAAGAATTTAAAGAACCAAATAATATTCATAGATAATCTTGTTCATAAATCCACAATTCATCGGATCTCGACAAGCACACCGCAAAAGAGTATTACATCGAATAGATCTCTAAGAACATCGAGGAGAACTTTGTATTGAGAATAAAAGAGAGAGAAGAAGACATCTAGCTAATAACTATGGACCCGAAGGTCTGTGGTAAACTACTCACTGTCGGTGTCAAAACCGGCGGATCTCAGGTAGGGGGTCCCGAACTGTGCGTCTAAGGCGGATGGTAACAAGAGGCGGGGGACACAATGTTTACCCAGGTTCAGGCCCTCTCAATGGAGGTAATACCCTACTTCCTGCTTGATTGATCTTGATGATATGAGTATTACAAGAGTTGATCTACCACGAGATCGTAGAGGCTAAACCCTAGAAGCTAGCCTATGATTATGATTGTTGTTGTCCTACGGACTAAACCCCCCGGTTTATATAGACACCGGAGGGGGCTAGGGTTACAGAAAGTCGGTTACAAGGGAGGAGATCTACATATCCGAATTGCCAAGCTTGCCTTCCACGCAAAGAAGAGTCCCACCCGGACACGGGACGAAGTCTTCAATCTTGTATCTTCATAATCCAACAGTCCGACCAAAGCATATAGTCCGGCTGTCCGAGGATCCCCTAATCCAGGACTCCCTCAGTAGCCCCTGAACCAGGCTTCAATGACGATGAGTCTGGCACGCAGATTGTCTTAGGGATTGCAAGGCGGGTTCTTCTCCAAATTCCGAATACCTGTCGAGTAGTGTTCGGCTTCCCATGAATGTTGCACTCCTTGGCTTCTGCACCTAATAATGGCTATCCTCCACGTGTTGAGCGGATGCGAGAAGTCGGGGCATTTTTACACTTGCCACCCTAACCATGTGAGTAAATCATCTATTTAAAGAGATGGGGATCCTCAGATCCAGATCACACCATCCTCCCACAACGAGTATCCATCGGAGCGCGCCCGGAAAAGTCCATCCCATCATGGCCGGCCATCACAGCTCCTCCACTCTCTCCCGTAGCCCTAAGCCAAGCAATTGGAAGAAGTGTTCCGTCCCCCACAGCCGATTAGTAGAGTTACAGACCCAGGGGTTTCTCCCTCCAGCGTATATGGTCCCTGTTCGAGCCGGACTTGCCACTTACAACGGCGGGGAGCAAGCGAAGAGCTTTCCCAACCCATCCATGGGGGAGCGGGCATGCCTTGTCCCTTACTTATTAAGGGGGCTTGGATTTCCAATCCATCCGTTCCTCCGCAGGCTCCTGGAGTTCTACGGCCTCCAGCTGCATAACTTTACTCCCGCCTCCATAATACACATTGCTGGCTACGTCGCCCTTTGCGAGCTATTTTTGGGCTGTGAAGCTCATTTCGAGCTATGGAAGATGTTATTCTGCCTCGTACCCCGTACACAGGAGGGGTCAATATATCAAGTGGGCGGAGCTGAGATATGGCGCATCGCCGGGACCGGATACCTGTTCGGTACTCCGAAGAAGACATCCGAAGACTGGCCTTCAGAGTGGTTTTATATGGAGGACGTCCCCCTTCCAGACCCTATTCGGATGGGCCTTCCTG